TATTATTGAAAAAATAATCAACAAACCCCGTTCTCCCCTACTATATCAAAAATAATTTCATTAACTCAATAAAAAAAAATATATCAACTGCTATTTAGTAAAAAATACCCCATTTTAAAATGTGGGGCAACTACTTCACTTTTACCCTAAGCATTGACGTAAAGGAAATTAATGATTTGATCTTCTATAATATAAAACTATGAAAAACGTCACATAAATATTATATTTGTCTCTACTCATAACACATTTTGTTCAAAGAAACTTGTTTATGTGGCAAACTACCTGATTTCCTAAAGCAAAATTAATCCCAATATTGACAGGTAGTAATACCGATCTACATTTTAACCTGCTCGGAATAAAAAACCAGTCATTACGATGCAAAAATAGTCCAATCACAACCTGTTTCTTTACACCACCTAACTAAAACAACAACACTATTAGCCAAATAAATATACGAGACCCGGTTTTTTAATAGTTTTATTGGAACTAGTTTTCATTTCTTGAATTTTGATTGGAGAACCGGTATGTGTGGGTTGGATTGTGTGTTCTAGTAAAACCAATAAAACTTCACTAAGGCATGTTAAAATAGCTAACTTTACTGTTTTTTAAAGGTGTTAGAGTAAGGTTAGAATATTATTCAACATTTCTATAAACCAATAAAGAAAAAGAACGCCTTTTAAAGATGTTTTACTTAATTACTTATTAAATATGTCATTTTTTATTACTTTATTACAATTTAAAATCTACAATACACGTATAGAATATGATAAAAAAGATCTAAAAATGTCTAAGTGCTAGTTCATCTGATAGGTAGGTACACACCATGGAAAAAATTAATATTATAATAGAAGAAATTGGAAAAAAAAATTTGGAAAAACTTACAGGAATTGATAAGCCCAGAATATAAAAATATTTTAACGACAAATGACATAAGAATTCATGCAAATATGAAGATATCGTTTAGGTTTACAAAAGAAAATTACGGTTTTATCATACATTAATGGGAAGGAGTTGTGCATCACTAGACCAAGCGCCAAAAACTGATTTTGAGATATTTTCAAAGTTTTCACTCTATTAAAATTCAGTATAATGTTACAATAGTTGTTTTTTTTTTTCGAAGACAGTTTTTTATGTTTTCTTTAAGTGCGAAATAGTAACTTGCTAATGTTGAAGAAAAATGTTTGCCACATTGTGTAATTGTGTTAAACATCAATAGACCAAGCGACATGGAGGTCGTTTGGTCTAGTGATGCGTAACTTAAATATCACTTTTAGTGAATAATTAGTAGGCCACAAGCTATTTGTTCTTTTTGGGTATGACGATAAAAGTTGATGTTTTGAATATTTCACATTACTTAAGACATTAATCAATAATAATAGAAAAAAACTTGTTTTAAAGTACAATTTTGTGAATATTATGATAATAGTAAAAAAACATTACTTGTATACCAAAGTCTAAGTCTTCTTCAAATCCGTTAATGTCATCTTCTACTGTATTGTTACTTTCGCATCATTTGGTATTAGCTGAATTAAAGATCTTAATTCATTAAGCTCAGGCACAGAAAGTGGCTTGCCGATGGGCCAAAGAGGAATCAAGTGGTTACTTAGGGATTGCATTGCAACGGGCCGTCCTTTTTGAAGTTTCTTGTGAAGATCTACTTCATCTTCACTAGTGTTAAAATCAGTTTTCATAAAAATACTCAGTGTTTTAGCCTTTCTTACTTCTATTTCTCTTGTTTTAAACCAGCTTACCTTCATCATCATCATCATCACGTAGTGCTACAACCCTGGGTAGGTCTTGGCTGACTGTACATTTTTCCAATTTGTTCGGTCTTCCATCAATCTAGGGTCAAATGGAATGTTAATTTTCCGAAAATCTGCTTGGATGTTATCACTCCATCGCATTCTGGGACGTCCCAGTGGTTTTTTGCCTGTGGGAATCTCCTCCCATACCAGTTTAACAAGTCTCTCGTTATGCAGTCTGTGCACTTGGTTTGCCCATCTTAGTCGCTGTGATTTAATTTCTTGGACCATATCGGCGTCGTTGTAGAGTGCTTCTAATTCGATATTGGTTCTGATTTTATGCTGGTTGGTGGTGATGTCATGGTGAGGTCCGAAAATTTTTTTAAGTATTTTTCGTTCAAATCGTCTGACCTTTTCTTCGTTTGCTTTGGTCATGGTCCACGTTTCGCATCCGTATGTTATTACAGGTCTGACGATGGATTTATAGATTTTGATCTTTGAACATCTTGTGAGATATTGTGATTTTAGGAGCTTATCCAGTGCGAATAGACAGCGGTTTGCAGATTGGATTCTGTCTTTTTGAAGGTGTTGACCGTCACATTTTGTCCTATTCTGTCTCTTAGTGTCGTTCTATTTATACACATATATTTTGTCTTCTCTTCATTAATCTTTAGCCCCACTGCACTTGTTGCTCCTTCCACCTTGTTAAAAATATCTTTCGTGAATAAGATGGAGTCTCCAACGAGACCTATGTCATTTGCATATGCGAATAATTACCTTACCTTACTGTTTTCTATGTCTGATTTATGGTTTGTAATCATAGTTTTTAACTTTTTATTCCAACGAATTCTTCTTTTTTTATTCTGTGAACTATGAGTGAATTCTTTTTACGGGCTTTTTTCATCGCGTTTAGGTAATCATCAACGGTATATAAACGTTCAATATCTTCAAAATCAGTATCATTTGGTAAAAAGCTATGACCAAGAAAGAGATAGCGTAATGTAATTTTTTCAATGATAGGATGACTTTCCAAAATCGTTTTCAGAATCAAAACTATTTTGATGTTGCGATTTTGGCCGCTACAAGAGTCTGACCACAACATTATATGTTTTGCAGAAGTAATATTTTCTTCAATGTGTTTCTTAAGACAACTGCCTACTTCCTGGGCTGCCCGACCAGCTTGACTTGGTGAATGACTTTTGTTATCCTTGCCCCTATAGATATCATCATCATCAACTAGCCTGTAATGTCCACTACTGAACATAGGCCTCTCGCATGCTTTCCCACTTAGTCAGATTTTCTGCCATTCAAATCCAATTTGTAATCACTCTTTTGATGTCATCTGTCCATCTTGTTCGGGGTCAACCTCTATTTCTGTTAGCTTGTATTCAAGGTCACCATTTCAAAATTCTTTTTGTCCACTGATGATCAACTGATCTTGCTACATGGGCTGCCCAGTTCTACTTTAATGTTGTTATCCTTTCAATACCCTCTGCTACTCCTGATCTTTTGCATATAGTAGCATTGGGTATTCTATTACGTAGAGAAATCCCTAACATTATTCTCTCCATTGCCCTTTTTGCAACTTGTAGTTTATTTACTGTTATTCTTGTGAGTGTTAGGGGTTTCTGTGCCGTAGGTCATCACTGGAAAAATACACTGAATATATATTTTCTTTTCAGACACATTGGAATCTTATACCTAAATATATCCTTCATCTTTTCAAATGCAGCTTAAACGAGGTTTATTCTTCTTTTCAGCTCGATTGTTTGGTTGTCTCGACTTATTCTAATCTTATGGCCCAAGTATTTATAGGAGTCAACTGGCTCAATATCTCTGTCTTCTACTGAGATGCTTTTGTTGTGGACTAAATTTGTCATAAATTGCGTTTTTGAAAAATTTATTTTAAGACCAACGGCCAACCAAGACTCTTTTGTGACAGTATGGAGTTCTTGGAGCAATATCTGTGCCTGATCAAAGCTGTCTGCAATAAGAACGATATCATCTGCAAATTTGAGGTTATTTGAAAATTTTCCATTTACATTGATGCCCATTTCGTTCCAATCTATTGTTTTAGAAGCGTATTCTAGCAAAGTTGTAAATAATTTAGGAGACATGTCTCCTTGCCGAACGCCTCTTTCAATAATTTACACTTATAATATACGATATTTGTTGGAATTCTCGGAAGGGGAAGAGTTTTTCGAAACAATCATATCTGCTATATGTACCTTTTTTCAACTTTTCGTCGTATTTTAATGTCATGGTTATTAAAATTTAAAATGACATAACGCTACCACAACATTAAGGAAAACAGATTATAGTATTAATACGGTATTTCAGGATTATATTACGTTCTTCCACTGATTAATTTTTTTTATCTCTTTCGGATTTAGTCTTCTTGACACATAAGTGTGTTAAATATTTTAAATGATTATGAAATTTCCCAATTCTTAAACGGATTATCACCGATACAAGAACCATTAAAACTAAAATAGATTTATTGACTAAGCCGAGTTTTTAAAGATACAATACCTTCGTTACTAATCTAGAGATAAGCAAGTTATAATCCTTTATAAATTTAAAAAAAAATAATAAACTTTCAAATAAAAAAATAGTATTTATTCATTGCTTTTAAAAATGGTTATATACTGACAACAATAAATAAATATCTAAATACATTGTGGTCATACGATCAAACGAAAATAGGTAATTCTTAAAAACGTCAATTAGTTACTATTTAAATTAAAAAAAAACCCTCTGTGGCTCAGTGGTAAGAGCGCCTACCTTTAAACCTAAAGGTCGTGAGTTCGAATCTCATCTGGGTGGAGAACAAATAGTACAGGAATCGATATATTTCGTTCAGTGATGGCACTCAATAGATTTACATTTTTATTGCTGTGCTTATGTTTCGATAATGTAGACAATCTGTAAAAACTGCTGTTATTTATGAAAACTAAGATAGTCAAATAAGATAGTTAAAAAAATTAATTCGTGTTTGAAATGTTTGTTGAGTTTTTCCAATCAATTTTAAATGGGGTCAATAATACCCCATTTGGGTTATATTACACACATGTTTCACCTAAGTGACGCCGGGTTAATTACACTAAGTTGAAATTCTAAGTTTAAATTTATTTGCCATTTACAAAGAATTGTTGAAATATTGTGAACTATTACAGTAAAAAACTAGTTAAAAATTTTATAAATATTAAAGAAATGGTATTTTTGATTTGTATTTATTAAAAAATAAAAATGTTTTAGTTAACTTGATGGCACTGATTACTGGAATTGGTTATTCCTGGTCATCACCATGTATCCCAAAGTTAAACGGAAGCATTGACCCTGACCATAACCCCTAGGACGACCAGCTACCTTACAGGAAATATCTTGGATTACTTCTCTGCATGCCCTAGGATCTTTATGCGGACCTTTATTTACAGGAGTGGTGTCCAGAAAACTGGGAAAAAAGTTAACTTTGATAATATTTTCTCTGCCACAGGTTGCCTCCAGCATAATTCTTATATTTGCATACAATGTTACACATTTTTATATCTCAAGGTTTTTGCTTGGAATTGGAACTGGATGTGTGTTTTCTGTAATTCCGTCCTACATAGGAGAAATATCGCCTACGTACATGAGGGGAAGAACTAGTATGCTTAACTCGGTTCTGCTAACGGCAGGCCAAACTTTGGTGCTGATAATTGGACCATTTGTGACAATAAGAACAATTGCTGTACTGACTCTTCTAGTTTCAATAGTATTTTTATTTACTTGTATTTGTTATGTGCCCGAAAGTCCATACTTTTATGTAATGAACGGAAAAGTGGAAGAAGCTAAGAAAACGTTGAGCAGTTGGGGTAGGCGGGAAAGTTTAGATAAAGAGTTACTTGAAATAACAACAATTTGTGAGCAATCAGCAACGGAACAAAGCTTCAAAGCGATCTTTAGTTTGAAAATTTTAAAAAAGTGTTTGGTGATTTCTCTAGGATTAGTGACCTTACAATCTTTGGTTGGAAATCCAGCAATAGTAGCGTACCAGCAAACTATTATAGACACTTCTAAAAATAACTATATCTCAGGTGATACTAGTGTTATGATCATAAGTATAATGCAACTAATAGGTACATACTTAAGTACTGGCCTAGTAGATAAATGGGGAAGAAAGCAGCTGCTTTTTGTCTCTTATGTGGGGTTGTTAATTTCTTTAGCTGGCTTGGGGGCATATTTTTACTTTTTTAATTTACAATATAACTTAGATAGATTTTTTTGGGTACCTTTTGCCAGCGTACTAATGTATATAGTGTTCTACAAAGTGGGTGCTGGACCTCTACCATGGACACTAAGTGGTGAGATCTTTCCTCCATCATTTAAACCTCTTTTAAGTACTTTAACTGCCCTAGTCATGACCACAGTAAACTTTTTAGTTACCCTTGTTTTCCCGTATATGTCTGTTTATCTGGGAATGGCTTGGAGTATGTGGATTTTTGCAGCATTTTCAATATTCTCGCTGTTTTATATTGCTCTTTATTTGCCAGAAACTAAAGGAAAAAGTCTCGTTGAAATACAAAGGATGCTCTTAGAAGGAAGAAAAAGAAACTTTGAATTTGTTGGGGACCAACTCATTAGTTTAGAAGAGCAAAAACTAAATGGTTTTGACCAATAACAATATCTAGTTACCTGAATTATTATTTAATTTATTTATTTTTGTAAAACAATTTAAGTATATTTTATAAAGAAAATAAAATTCTTATTACGGGCTGTAAATTAAAAAGTTCCCAGGAATAACTTATGTTTAATTTATTACCTTTGTCTTTTGGCTGATAAATTTTTTTGGCTTTGCATTTTGGCAGCATATACGTAACTGGAAAAATACCACAAAGATGGTTAAAGTCGATCTTCGTGACCATACCAAAAAAAGTAAATGTCAGGATATGCGAAGACTACAGAATAATTAGCCTAATGAGCCACTTACTTAAAATGCTCTAAAAAGTGATACATGGCAGAATATATAAAAAATGCCAAGTATCGTGGACGCAGTTTGGATTCCGCGATTCCTTAGGCACCCGAGAAGCTCTATTCGCTGTCCAAGTGTTTATGCAAAGATGCAGGGATGTTAACTGTGATGTGTATGCTTGTTTTATTGACTACAAAAAGGCATTTGATAGAGTAAAGCATGATAAACTTCTAAACATCTTGAAAGAATTAGGGTTAGATTATAGGGACTGAAGAATCATCTATAATTTATATTACAACTAAACAGCCAATATTAAAGTGGATGCCCAATTGACAGAGGCAGTCTCCGTAGATAGAGGAGTGAGGCAAGGATGCATTCTGTCCCCGGTGTTATTTAATATATACTCTGAATATATCTTCGAGCAAGCGCTAAGATAACTACAAGAAGGCGTATTAGTCAACGGAATGCGTCTAAACAACATTAGATATGCCGACGACGCAGTAGTTTTTGCAGATAGTCTGTACGGTTTGCAAAGAATAATGTCGCATATATCAGATATTAGTAGAGAACACGGACTTGATCTTAATACGAAGAAAAAAAACTACATGGTAGTCAGTAAGCGCGAAATATTAAATACGCAGCTTTTGGTTAAACAACATCCAATTGACAGAGTGGACAGCTACACATACCTTGGTATCAACATTAACAGCCAATGGGATCACTCCAGTGAAATAAAACAACGCATGGGAAAAACGAGATCAGCGTTCATAATGATGAAGTCTCTTTTCAGAAGTCACGATTTACCACTAGCTACCAAAATCTCTCTCATTAGATGCTATGTATTTTCGACGTTATTATACGGAGTAGAGGCCTGGACACTTTCTGAAGCTTCTTTAAGAAAACTCGAGGCATTCGAGATGTGGTGTTACAGACGTATTTTAAGAATTTCATGGGTGGGTCGTGTGACTATTGTTGAGGTCCTACGTAGAATAGGCAAGGAATGCGAGATTATTAACACCATCAAAGAGCACAAACTAGAATATCTTGGCCATGTTATGAGGAATGAACAGAGATACGGCTTGTTGCAACTTATTTTTCAGGGCAAGGTATTTAGAAAGAGAGGACCAGGGAGAAGAAGAATATCTTGGCTTCAAAACATGAGAAAGTGGTTTAATACATCGACAGCCGGACTATTCAGAATAACAGCATGCAAAGTTAGGATAGCCATGATGATCCGGAACGGATAGGCACTGTAAGAAGAAGAAGAAGAAGAAGGCAGCATGTGCTGTTGGACTTAACACAATTTAAAAATGATCACAATAGTGGTAAGTATATTTCCAATAAGTCTCATGTAAGCAAATTTTAAATATCCTTTCAAACCATTATCAAATTCTTTCATTCATTATTCAAGTCACTTTAAATCATTATTTTTATTCATTTTATACGTTTATTTTTACTGTGCATTTATTATTTTCATATAGACTTCTAATTAGTTGAATTAAGTGGTGGGGTGTTTCCATTTCCGCTAGTATAGACCATACCTGCTGCTATTTGACTTTATCGAAGGTCTTTGTGTAATCCACAAAGCACATAAGCATAGGAGTATTGAATTCACGAGTTTTTTCGATTAGCTGTCTGACATTAAGGATGTATTCTGTTGTGCCTTTTCCTGGGACAAATTCCATGTTGTCCAGTCGTTGGGCCACTCACCGGTTTTTCAAATCTTTTTGCAAATCATATGTACTCCAATATCTCCTTCTCTTTCTTCAGGTTCCTTTTCTATCGGAGATTGGAAATCATTTTGGCAATTATAATTTTGTTGGTTACGCCAACAATTGTTCAATTGAACTGCATCCAAACCATTCACGAAGATTGCGAATCCACGAGATTTTACGTCTTCCTATGCTTCTTCTGCCTTTGATTTTACCCTGCATTATATTCCTTAGTAGTTCGTATTTTTCACCTCTTATGATGTCCCTAAGTATTCCAATTTCCTGATTTTTATGGAATTTAAAACTTCGCATTGTTTTCCTAGTTGTTCCAGAACTTGTTCGTTTGTTTTGCGATCCATCCATGATATTTTCAAAATACGTCGGTAACACCACATTTCGAATGCTTCTAGGTTTTTAATGTTGGATTTTTCAAGTGTCCAAGCTTCAACCCCATACAAAAGCCCAAAGATAATATAACATCGAAGCACTCTTATCCAGAGCGATATATTGATATCGCGATTACAAAAAAGTTTTCTCATTCTATTAAAAATTGACCGTGCAATTTCAATTCGGCATCTTATTTCTTTTGTCTGATCAATATCTTCTGTGATCCATGCTCCAAGGTATTTGTACGAAGATATTTGTTCAATTTCTGTATTATCTAGTACTAGCTTAACTTTGATGTTTTGGGCTTTTGTAAATACCATGAACTTGGTTTTCTTAAAATTTATTTTTAGTCCATAATCGTTGCAATATATTTAGTTGTTCAGCAAGGTGTAGCAGTTCTTCTAGTATTCCTGCCAGAAGGACGATGTCGTCATATCTTATGTTATTAATAAGCGTTTATCATAAGGCCATCACTGATCTCGACAAGCGCTAATTCTGAGATGGCTTCACTGTATAAATTGAATAACAAAGGTGATAAAATACACCCTTGGCGGATCCCACGGCGAATCTGGATATTCTCGGTCAGTTCATTTTCAACTTTTACTTTTGCTGTTTGATTCCAATAGGTTACATATGATTCTAATGTCTCTACTGCTGCACTCTGTCAAATGCCTTCTTAAAATCAATGAAACAGGCATATACTTTCTGAATTATATCTAAGCATCTCTGCGAAAGAACACTTACTGCAAATAGTGCATCTCGTGTTCTCAGTCCTTTTGGACTAAATCCCATTTGTGTACTACTTATGCCTTCATCTAATTTCTTATGTATTTTGTTGTGAATTACTTCCAAAAACAATTTCTTGAATCCAACATCTCCAGTCTCTTTTATTACTTCTGCGGTGATCTGGTCTGCTCCAGGAATTTTTCTACTTTTTAACATTTTGATTGCTTTTTCTACCTCTGACTTTAAAATGTTTGGTTTTCTCTGTGCAGTGAACTCGTCGTGATTTGCATTCTGGGTATTATCTGCAATAAGACTTTTTACTCCACACTTCAACTATTGATTTACCATCATCAGATATCAACAAAAAATGTTAAATACATAAAAAAGAGGCAAACGAAAAAGCACTTACAGAGTGGTTCATACAAACTTAAATGTGACGACTGCTCAAAAACTTACATTGGACAAACCGGTAGAATTTTTAACAAACGTATAGTAGAACATAAAAGGGCTTTTGATAATAGAAAATTAGATTCACGTGCGTACGTACTTTAACCTCTACTTCATTTTTTTAAAATAAACACGTTTTTTGCAAATATCTAAAAATTGAAGCAAAAACTTTCAATAATTTACCTTAACAAAGCGTAAATTGACCAATACAGAAAAACAACGCGAGCAAAATCGATTCTAATTTACCAAAGACATACCTCTAACAAAGGTAAAAGCAACATTGGTATGTACTTTCAAAGATTTCGCGTGTTATTGCGATAGTTATTGCCCTCTACTAGCACATTTTCGCCCCTTGCTTTTATTTATGTCTCTATTCACCGGCAACCGGACAAAATCAAGTCATCTGTTACGGATTTTAACACGGCATTTGTCTGGAAAGACGTTTCGTAGCCGGTCGGTGTCCGTGATGGGAAGTAATGTGTCAGTAAGGCGGGAATCTTTAAATATTTATGGTTGAAGGATGGATATTGCTCACGGTACAGCTAATAGACTTGTTATAATATTCGGTACGAATGTTATTAGCTTATTTGAGTTTTTTTTTTATATATAGTCCGTCTAGAAATTATCCGAAAAAAAAAAGAAAACGATATATGAATATGATATATGAAATATAAAATTCCAACAAATAATTCATCTCATTTACTTATACAACCTCCATTTAAATCTAAACACATAACGGAAACTAAGGAAACTAAGTTCCTGTAGCTGGCTGTATACCATGTATCACAAAATTTTTTATTTCAAATGCTTTATAAAAGGTATATAATAAAATACCCAAACGGACTATCACAATTACATTACAGAACGTTTTCGGAATGTTAATTCCATCATCAGTGTAAACCTGAAAGTATATTACCACTTTTATTAAAAAGAACGTTAAATTTAAAATATTGACTAAGTTGAAAGCAAAATGTGGTTAATACTTACGAAGTATAGATGCTATGAGCCACTAAAATACATAGGTCAAAACCCGTTAAATGTTGTAAATTTATAGTTGTGTTACATTATATTATAATATTACAAATTAGGATATTTAAGTTACCGTTGGAATTGGTAACATGGCGACGTATGACCCAACATAGGTTATATGGTCCTGAAACAAAGTGTATTCGAGGACCTGTTGATAACAACTGATAGAAATGACATTATTGACATGTTAGGATGGATGTTGGATCAAAGCAGTCAGTGTAACTTACGGTAGTTGTCTAAAAATGACAGAAGCCAGCATTATTTAAAATTGAATAAGTTAAAATTAGAATAATATAACAGTATCAACCATCAATCTTGTATATTGTTCTGAAGCTATTTTCTTGTGGCATTCTAAATTAATTACTATTAAACTGGGAATATGCCACAATTAAAAATTGTGGCTTATTCCCAGTTTAATAGTAATTAATCAATCTTGTAGTCTGTATTGTGATTTGTTAGCCCTATATTTATGTTGAAAACATTGAAACAATTGTTTTTTTAAATTAATGTAGGTAAAATGA